CTTATCTCTATATTCGTAAACTTTAGAAAAAATAGAAAGAACAGAAATTGGGCGATAATTTGTAACATTGGTTGGATGGCCCATCTTAAAAATTGGAGTGACTTTAGCTATTTTTAAATGATCTGAAAATATTCCCTGTTTTGTTGAACAATGAAAAACTTTAAATAGTACATCTTTTAAGGATTCATACGAGTCGAGCTGAACGGACAAAGGTGCTTGAACAATACTGTTTAAGCACCTTCAAGAGCTTAAGTTTATTAATCCAAATGAAATTCACCCGTTTTATTATAACTTGCCACACCAGTAATTCTCTACTTGTTTGTGAATTCTCTTTGCATACAGAAAAAATACAATGAATGAGAAATAAAATAAACAAGATTTTGCTCGCCATGTGGTTTTTAAAAAAATATTTTCTAACTTAGCAACTTAATAAGTTGTATTTTTTTCTGTATGCAAAGAGAATTCACAAACAAGTAGAGAATTACTGGTGTGGCAAGTTACAATAAAACGGGTAAATTTCATTAGGAATAATAAGACAAAACTTACAAGGAAAGTAAATAAGAGGAAACATTTATAAGAGAAGCGATAATGACTCATCTTTTGAAAAACAAATTACTGTCAAAAAATCAACTAGGCTTGTTAAAAAATAAAGCCTGTGTAACAAATTTACTAGAAACATTAGACATTTTAAGAGCAAGCATGAGTGAAGGTTTAACGATTTATATGGATTTTGCCAAAGTCTTTGATAGAGTTCCACATATTATACTATGTAAAAAACTATTGAAAAGGAGCGAAGCTTATAGTATCGAGTGTGTACTAAAAAATGTTGAAGATTTCGAGTATTTGCAGAATGACACCAATAAATTTGTAAAATGGACGGATATCTGATTGAATAATTTGAACGTTGAAATATGCAAAATGATGTACCTAAGTAAAAAGAATCCACAAATAAGTTATAGTATAACCCATGACGGCAAAGAGCATACATTAGGTACAAAAGTAAGTGAAAGAGATTTAGGTGTGATCATTTCATCCGACCTTAAATGACATAATCAAGTGACATCAGCGACGGCAAAAGCGCAAACAACTTTGGGTATAGTTAAACGTACATTTTCATAGTTTGATGTCGAAACGGCAAATCACTATATAGGACTTTGAGAGACAGCTCCTTGAGTTCGCTATACCTTCATGAAAGCCTTATTTACAACGAGATATTATATATGAGTTAGAGAAAGTGCAAAGAGGAGCAACAAAGTCCCACAACATAAAAAGATTTCATATGAAAAAAGACTAAAAGCGATGGGTTTAAAAACATTAGAGAAAAGAAGATCTCACAGATTTAAGCAAAATACAGACCAAATAAGTTTTTCTTTTTTAAAATTTTTTGTCGATATAGACACCTAAAAACTTTTGTCACTAAAACTCTTTCAATTATTATAATATCCGTATAAAGGAAAGGCAAGTTACTAGGCAGCAGGTATTTTTTACTTTTAAATAAGTTGGCACAAAAATCCACAATTGCCATCATCCTTGACTAGTTCAGGCCCGGCATCTTCGGTTCGGGACAACAAATACAGGTTAGAAAGAAAATACATTGGGGTAGATTAGAGTAATATGAGCACCTTGGTATTATGAGCATACTTAAAGATTTCTTAGATGTAAGCAGTGAAGTTAAAGTTGCTTTGCATTTTTTGAATTGACTTTAAATTAGCTCAAAAAACTGTGGTGATAACAGGAATCAGTACAACTAGCGTAAATTTATATGCAATAATTAGCGGCTATTATCTAATTAAAGCGCTGTTAAATTTTTTGCGTTGTTAAAATAATATCATCACGCATGAATTTATACTGTGGCGCGAAATTTTGGTGCTAAAATGATGAAATTAATTTTTTCATAAAGAAAAATATGTTAGCTAAAAATCCAATCCATTTTTGTTTGAAAAGCAATGCATAGAAACATATAGTTTTGACTTTATTAAAAAATTTTATTTTTGTTTAATAAGACCAGTGTTTTTCATTTAAATTACTTAGTTTAAAGTCTTAAAATAGCAGCGGTTTTAATTGCTTTTTGAATAAAAACAAAACCTATTAAAAAAATTTAATAACATTTTAATATCAAAAATTTAATATCATTTAATATTATAATGTTTTAACAATACTAAATATTTTTCTGTAACTTAAACTCAAAAAATCTAAATTTTTATCATTCGAAGGTTTGAGTTAATAATATTAAAATTTTTTTTTGATATTATTAGCTCAAACGAACTAATTTTTTGTTGTTGTTGTTGCGGAAAACACTGTTTTAACAAAAAGTGGCTTAAAATTTGATCTTTAATGATAAGTTTTGTTAATCACGAATCATTATATTCCAAAAATTAGTTCTTATTGTCAGGTTGATATTTTTTTACTTAAATGTTATTTTTTTGAGTTAATTTAAATTACCAAGTGGTCTTGGTAATATGAGCACATTTACTGCTTTTTTAAAACCTGAGCTTTTAAAAAATTTTTTGGGTGTCCAAATATCTAAGTGTATCATGAGTAGGGATCCCTAAAAATTGTTTGTTTGCAAAAACTTTGAATCCAGCATAATTATTTTCGAAAATACTCCAATTTTGGCTTAAGGTGCTCATATTACCCTTATCTACTATACTATCATGTTTCCTGAGATAAAATTTCTTCACCAACCAAGCTTGTAGTAATTAAAATTTGTTACCAAATGAAACCATAGAAGAAAGATTATTGAATGTTTTCGAAGCGCAAATAGATAAATATTTTGATAACTTGTGTTTTAAATTGTGTGGGCTGTCTAAAACACGATGCTTACATCAATTTATTTTCCTTTAAAAAGTTGTAATTGCTACAACAACAAATATTACTATAATAAACTTTCTTCAACCCACTGAAAAAATTAAATATCAATTAATAATATAATATTTAAATTATGAGATGAGAATAAATTATGAGATGAGGATAAAGTAATTATTAGATAGCCCCTGCGAAACTTTGATAATCGAATCGAATCAGGAAAGTGATTTAAAATTGATTTCTCCAAAATCTCCATTTATTCAAATCAAATCAATGTAATTTCATTATAAAACATTTGAACATTAAGGTAGTACCCTGGCATTAGTTTGGTGAAAAATGAAAAAAAAAAAAACATGAAAAATTTGAAAAAAGGTTATTTAGAAAATTGAACATTGTATAATTCATTAGTAAATATATATTTTTTTAAAATAATACTGCAAAAGATTTTTGTGCTGGTGATTTTCGGTAATCTATCTGAGTAGTGTACATAATTTTTAATTTTAAAAATTATTTTTCTCAATTTTTTTTTATGAGTAGCTGTAGAAAAACAATATCTCAACAAAAAATTATTATTTTAACTTCAAATTTTCAAGATATGTTTATTATTAAATTTTTTAGCGCCTGAACCTAAAAAAAGAAAAAGAAATAATTAAACTTGACCTAATTACTCTATAAACTGAGTGTTTTATAGTTAAAAATAGTTTTTTAAACTATCAAGTTTTCCATTTGAGATTGTTCAAATTTTTTAAAAATATTTTTGATTCAGGCTCAAGTTACTCTAGTATCATTGTGGAAAATTTCAATCTTCAATATTAATGTAATCTTAAGATATTTATGTTCGTTGAGACGTTAACTATATTTCACTTTCTTTTTTACTGAGTCAGCAATTACTTTTTTTTTAATTGAAAGTCCTTTTGCAATACATTTTAGATTTTTATCTAATATGCTAGTAATTCGTTAAAGGTATTTATTATGAGTAAAATCATAGTCTTAATAACAGATATGTATTTAACATATGTATACATTTAACAGATATGTATTTAACATAATAACAGATATGTATTTTAGGACTATGGTAAATTATAAGAAAATAAAAATGATGCAAGGATACCTCCTTATCTTTAGAACTATTTCTTCTTATTAAAATTACACAATTCAACATTATTAGAAAGTTATTACTCTAATAATCGAAGTGGTCATTAGAATTTCATTTTTTAAGAAATACTCAGTAAGCACTGCATCGGCTTGCAGAAAAGTAATTTTTTTCGATTATGCGATAAAAAAATCGCATCTAATTACACTAAATTTTTCTACAAAAATCAAATCACGGTAAATCGTTCTGCAATTCGTTATTGAAAAATGGCAGCATCGCAATTACCTAGCTGAAAATCGCATTCATAACTAAGCGACCCCGAAAAAGTATGTTCATTCTTAGGTCAAAACAGAATGTTTTTGTTTTATGTGTTCATTTGTTGCCTAGGAACAAAAATACATTAACGAGCTAACTATAACTGCTTAAACGTAAGAGCAATTAGTTAATAAAGTATTAAATTTCACTAACTTATACTATATTTATTGACAGTATTTTAAAATCAATTAATTATATTTTAGCGTTCGAAAGTTATGACCATGTGAAATTTACAACCCCCTCATTTTGGTCAAATTATGCGTACTAGAATACTAAAAGAAATAAGACTGAAATGTGAAAATATAATTGTTCTTTTGCAGTTAGCTTTATATGTTTAATAAATAGTTGAAATTAGAAAAAAAACAAAAACAAAACAACAACATAAGATTCGATTCGCGAATATATAGATGAATATATTCTATTCGTTGTTTAAATTTCCGATTCGCAAGGACCTATTATTAGTAGTATTACCCTTAATAATATGCAATATCATTTGTAAATATATTTTAAATTAAAATCAGCCTGTTAAAGATAAAAAAACTTTTTTAAGGTGTCAAAGTTAAAAAAATCTCTTTAGAGAGTTCTTTAAGATTGCAAAAATGATTTCAGTATCTTCAATAAGATCTTTAAATATATATGTTCCGATTGTTATAAATTATTTATCTATAATACTTTAAATAACATTATTATAAATATTTTTTTTAATTTAAACAATATTTTTATTTAAGTTTATAGCAAAAAAGAAAAACAGTAAAGAAAAGAAAATATTGTTAAATAAAAACGGACCAAAAGAAAACTGAAACAATCGACACAATGTAAACTCATCATTTTGTCAATAGCTACATTTATGTTTACAAATTCTATTTTTAGTTTGTTATAAGAAACTAAATGAGATATAAAAATAGAAATAAGATATTAAAATTAATTAAACAATAAAAACAGAAACTTTAAACCTAAAAAAAAGCATCGTTCAAAACTTAAATATCAGGAAGTACTTGAATTTTCTTTTGAAAAGAAGGTTTTTTAGAAAGCAATTCTTTCATTATGTCGTCTAAAATGTTTAAGGCGTTTCCGGCATGTACTCTTGTGAGTTCATCCTCATCAGTTCGTGCTACCAAATTTAAAAAACGATAAACTTCTTTTATTTCAGCGGAAACAATCTGTAAATAAAAATATATATTTAGTAAATATAACGGTAAGAAAAAAAAATTACGAAAAATTATTTGTAACACTAATAGAAAGAACTTAAAATTCCTTTAAAAAAAAAAGATTTTTTTGTCTAAAACGTCTAAATATTAACGGTATTTCTGGCATATATTCGCAACTCTATGTCCTTATAAAAATGAACGACACAATTTCAATATGCTTTTAAAGTTGTAGGCCGTATCCATCGTCAAACTGGAATCGACAGAATCTTGTAACTACTCACTGAAAACTTCAATAACATTAACATCCGCGCCGAAATACCAGAGGCGCCAATTACATTTTTTGGTGATAGCTAACTTTCAGACACGAAGCAAACTCCAAACATTTATATATTTATACTTATGTCAAATAAGGATGCTTTGCATCAAGACACTTAATTAAGACCAGCACGGTCTTAATATGGACAAATTAATTATTTGTCTTTGGGGACTTTCATTGATTCTTTTGTTCATAGTCCCAGCAATAATAGCCGATGGTTTATTGAGGGTAGCAACCGTGAGAAAACAACTGAGAGTAGCAACCGTGGGTAGCAGCTGCGTGTAGCAACCATGAGTGGCATCCATGAGTAGCAACTGTAAGTAACAACCGTGGGTAGCAACCGTGGGTAGCAATAGTAGGTAGCGTCCATGAGTAGCAACTGTGAATAGCAACCGAGAGGAGCAATTGTGAAGAGTAACTGTGATTATTATCCTCTAAGGATAATTATCTTTCCTATTTAAATATCTTTTCAATGCAGAACTACTTTAAGGTAAAATAAAACTTCAATGACCTTGTAATTAAAAAAGATAATTATGACTTCTTAAACCCTTTCTAAAAATATTTTTCTATAAACACTTTATTAGTTAAAAATATACAAACTAGTTTTGTAAAAAATTTAACTAATCATAATATAAAAAACATAGATAACATTTTAGTTCCTAAAACAAATTATTTTATTTTTATTAATTTTTTTTTTTTAAAATTAACTAACCTGAGAAATTTGTTTTATTAAGGTATTTTAAAAGATTTCTTTCCAAACAATTGAAGTTCTTATAATAACCTTTATGAGATAACACATGAAATAAATATCATATTGCACAGTGCAATGCAATAAAAAAAAGCCAAGACTGCTCATTTCTTGCCTTTCACAAATTAGTAGCAAAAACTGATCTCTGAACAAAAATATCTTTAAAATAATGAAAAAAAAAAAGTTCTGCATGACTGAATCTAAATAGAAATTTCTGGTATAATGCTGACTTGAAATACTTAGTTGACAAGAACTTTCCCTGAACAGGTCCCCCACTTTATGCAAACAAATGTGTAACATTCAACTTCAGAGATACAAATCCAGTTTTAACTGTTATTAGTTAATATGGCTAGAAGCTTACTAATGTTCAACATTTGGACTTCACATGCCCATACGTTTTTTTTGAAGAAGCCAAACAATATGATATCAAGTACATGATAAAGACATGTAGCTTATCTGTTTAATTTTGTTGAACAAAATAAAAAAACTTGAAATGTGGATTTAGCTGCATATGAAACGCCAATGATAATGTTATATTGAAATAACCATCTGTATAGGCTTCAGTACATACAGCCACTAAGGGTTTGGGCAATCAGTATCTATGTATAAAGGATTTTTATTATATCATCTCTTTCTTTTTTTTACATTAGTTTATTTTATTTTTATTAACATTTTTACTATAAAAAAAGTCTCAACACTTAACAAGAAAAAAATATGTAGATCTAATATAAATATAAAACAAAAAATGAATAGAAATAGATCTATATTAAAATTGTATGTATATGATTATATTTATATGATTGTATGTATATGATTGTATGTGTATGACTGCATGTATATAATTGTATGTACATGATTATAATTGTATGTACATGATTGTATTTATATGATTGTATGCACATGATTATGTGTATATGATTGCATATGACTATGTGTATATGATGCATGTGACTATGTATATGATTGTATGCATTTGATTTATCCTTTTAGTTTAATTGAGATTTTATTAGTTTGCTGTTCAGAGTTTTTATATAAATTCATCTTTTTTATATCTACTTATATTTTACTATAACAAAAAAAAAATATTTATTTACTTCATCTATGTGGCATTACCTGAAGCAATCTTGTACCCATGCCCTTGAACATTAAAGAAAACACTTGAATACCAGCTCTCCGTACCTCACATGATTTATCTGTTGAAACAACGTGATATACTGCAGAAATAATCTAAAAAAACAATTACAATTACAAAAATATTATATTAAAAATAATATTATAATAAACTTTAATATATGTAATATTGAAAATAAAACTACATGATTATCAGAGTCATTAGTTTTATTCTATTCCCAATAATCAGGTAAAGTGTAAGGTTTTTTTTTTGATAAGAATATGTATATAAAAACAAACAATGTTACATAACACCATTGTTATGAGCATGTGGATTGTTTTATTTAACTTAATCTTCAGGTATGTGGTTGCTTAATAGAAAATTATTTACTTGACAACCTTTAGAAATGAGCTGGGTTTTTTTATTTTGGAGTTCTTTAGCCTTTATATAGCAAAATGATTAGTTTTTCAATTAAACAAAGGAAGATTTTGCTTGTTTGCAATTGCAAGGTAAATAAAGAATATAGATAGGGACTTACCATAAACTGTATTTTGGGTTATATATAATATATTATATATAATATACAGTGGTTTTCATAAATTTAGACGCACTCATATTTGAGAATAGAAGTTTTTAGTTTTTTAACGATAAAACAATGACGAAAAAAGATTTATTAGATAAATACATACAGAATACAAAATTTAAAAAAAGTTTACAAAAAAAAAAATGAAATACTAAGTAATAATTAGGTACAACTACATGGTATTAAAAAAATTAGACAAAAAAAATTATTCATAAATTTAGACGCACGATACATTAGAAGGCGTAATTTATGAACCAATCAATATTTTGTGTATCCGCTTTTTGCTTTAATACAACTTGCTTTAAAAGAACTTTTCTAGGCATAGACTCAACAAGATTTTTGCACATCGCTTCTAGGACCTCATACCAGGTCTCCTTAAGGAATTTCTTCAGCTGACCAAGTGTGGAAATTTGAACCTTTGCTAATTCACGGTCAATCCAAGCCCAAACGTTTTCAATCAGGTTCAAATCAGGTGAGTATGGAGGCCACGGTATTGCCATGATATTATTATTGTTGAACCACTCCTTTGTATAGTATACAGTATGTGCAGTAGCGCCATCTTGTTGAAGTTTCTATGGTTTATCATTGAGCGTAAGCAGGTCAATTGATGGAATTAGGTTGTTTTCCAGTACTTCTACGTATATTCTGGAGTTGATTCTTCCAGTGTATGTTTGGCACATACCAACACCTTTGTAATTGAAGCATAACCAGATTCCTATCGAGCCTCCTCCTCTTTGTACAGTTGGTCTAATGTACCTGGCGTAATACTTTTCGTGAGCCATTCTTTTGACTGTTATGTTAGATTTGCGATTGATAAGCTCAAAGTTACTCTCATCACTTCACATAATGTTTTTCCGATCGTTCTATTGCCCAATACCTTCTTTCACGACACCTTTTAGTCTCCTTTTTTATCATATGGACGCAGAAGCGGTTTCTTCAAAGCAGTGTAGACTCCAATCTTCTATTTGATAAGTATTCGGCGGACTATGCTTTGAGAAATAGATGTATTTCGCGTTGTATTGAATTCTGTGGTCAATTCTTTGTAACTAATTCTTAGCTACAATCTATTGTTTTAGAGCTGTCAGATTAGCTCTGACAGCTCTAAAACAAACACTGTCGTCCTTTCTGGTGGTTGACAAGGGTCTACCTTTGTTTATTTATTAAATAATGATTAACTAATTCCAGGTAAGTCATATTTATATAAGGTTTTTTGACAAAATCAATTAATTTAGGCCTATTAATGAGAAATATGGGAAAAAACTACTAATTAACTATCAATTAACAAGATATAAGACTTTTTTGATTGTGCGTCTAAATTTATGAACAAAATAAAATCAAGCTTATCAATTAACTTTTTTGTGTTAATTGGTATAGAATGAGTAATAAACATCCTGTAAAAAAAATTAAGGTACTCTATAATAGAGTTTTACTTCCTTTTTTAATTTATATATCAAACATAGCGGTAGCACTTTTATTTTATTTTTATTTTGAGTATTTTCTTACATATATGAAAAAAAAAATGAATGCGTCTAAATTTATGAAAGCTACTGTAAGAAACATTAAATTTAACTGTTAAGATTATTAAAAATTAAGAAATTGAAATAACCATTTTAAAAATACCTCAACAAGATAAGGATCTACACTAAATTGTAGCAGCCCTGAAACATCTCCGAGTGCAGACAAACTGCTGGTTCGAACAAATGGATCTGAATCTTTCACACCAATTAAAAGGGCTGGTATTACAAATTGAGTATATGAAGGAAGTAAACTTCCACATAAATGACATGATTTTACAATAGCTTCACACAATTTCATGCGCAATTCACTTGATAAAATTTCGTTCTTTCCTAATACAAATATTATTTTAAACAAACAGTGCAGAATTAACCAAACAGTGGCTAAATAACCAGCACAGTTTATAATCCTTTATAAACAACAATTATTAAAACTATAAATATTCATAATCTTGTAAAATTTAATGATTTTATTTTCAAAACCAAATTTAAAGCTTTAAGTTTGGTTTAATTTTAAATTCACAAAACCTTGTTTAAAATCTTGTCACAAGATACAGACAGATACAAACTCTTGTATCTTGTCACAAGATACACACATATACAAACTCTCGTAATCAAACAAAATCTTTGGAACTTCATGATTTAATATTTAGGATTGAACTCCTATAATTTGAAAACTCTGGTAATTTAAACATATTTTGAGATCTCTTGAGCATAAGAACTACATGAGTTTAACTCACACTTGAGTTATAAAATAAATCAACTCAATTTTTAAAAGTAAACAAAGCTCTTGATTTATTGAAAATAAAAATACTTTGCTAAACAAATGCTTTGATATACAACTCAGCTTGAGTCATGCTTGAGCCATGAGTCTTTGATATACAACTCAACAATTTTATTTTCTTTATATAAAATTGACATTTTATAAGAAAAATTAAATAAACCTTGAATTTGTGCAAACTTTTGACAAAGAACAGGTAACACTTGTTTATGGTTAAGATCAACTAATGCCAGCAACCCTTCTAAAGAAGCTAGATATAAATAGGTATCTTCATGAGAAAGATTGGCCTCGAAGATATCTAAAAAATGAAGAATTCTATTTAATATATAAAAAAATATACCTTAAAAAAATAGTATAAAATTTGACATCCAGGATGTCGAATAAAATTTGACTCCCTGAGTTCAACTAGAAAAATAATTAATAAAAAACTTTGCTTTTTTGTCTTTTTTTTTTTTGTGAATAGATGATACCAGAAAATACTGAATTTAATTTAGATTCTAATCTAAAAAATTATTTATACAAAATTTATGGAGTTATTATATAAAATTCATTTAGATTTCAATGCTGTTTTACTCACATCAATATTTTACTAAAATCAACATTTTATTCAATTGTAAATGACCAATCAGAGTAAAATATGTAAATCTAAAAAGTATCAAAAAAAAATGAACTCATAATAATGATGAAGATAATAAAAATATTTCTATTTTACTATTTATTTACTAAATCACTATTTACTAGACTTACTTTATTTATATTTATATTTACTTAGCTTTAACTTTCTAAACTGACAAGATACAGTTGTTGAGACATTCAAAAATATCTAAATTATTATTGCAGGTTAAATGTTTTTCTGTTGAAAGAAAATAAGGGCTGTTGAAGGCTCCTTACAAATCATATACCTGTTGCGTTTTTTTTTTTGACATTTATTTTTTGACTTGTTTGTTTACACTCAAAGATACAACTCACAAAACACACGAAGAAACAGGTTAAACACAGTATCAGTATCACAAAACACACGAAGAAACAGGTTAAACACAGTATCAGTATCACAAAACACACAAAGAAACAGGTTAAACACAGTATCAGTAGTACTCTACCATTGTTTGGCTCTTAATTATCAAGTATTTTTTTATTCAAATATTTTGATTAAATCATATCCTTTGCACCCCTTTGCATGATTTAATTAAAATACTTGAATAAAACATTTTTATTATAATCATATACTTTAAGGTTGTTTAAGAATCTAAATATGTAGCTGCTTATAGCTTTTTAATTTTGAGAAAATCTTTACATCTTTGATTAATATTGTTTTTGAACTTGATGGAGAGATTCATGAGGATTATTTGATTCACTTTTAAAGTTAGATAATCCAAAATTTTTGTAAAAATGATTTGCTATTGAGTTGGTATTTTTACTGTATTTTTGTTGCAAACATCATTTGTTAATGTATCTTTATATTTACACCTGGTTATTGTAGAGTTATTGTTTTTAAACAAAATAAATCTATATTTTATTTTTATAATAATAATTTTTCAACATTTTTGTTTCTATGATAAAAAAAAAAGGATGAAATAAATAAAATTTATATTAAAATTAAGTGAAAGGAAAATAAAATAAATTTTCATTAATCTCTCTTTCATTTCAACGCTCTCTCAAGTTAAGCTTTTAAGTGCGTTCACATGAGAATTCTTTTGTGCAGAAATAATGTCTAAAAGGACATTCATTTTGCACAAAGGAATTCTTGTGTTATTTATCATGTTTGTATTTGTAGTTAGCATGAAATTATGCAATTTGCTTCAGATTAATGAAATCGACTCAAGCATCTTCAATCAAAGATGGATCTGAAATGATAAAAATATTTGTTTGTGAGCTCTACACATATGATTTTGTGACAAATGTGTTGTATACAATAGTGTAAAACTGTCGTAAGGTGACTTATTTGACATTGAAGCAAACATAAAAATTATTACAATATGTCTACAAGCATATTTAAAATAATAATAATAATAATAATAAAATAACAATAATTATAATAAAAAAAAGTAATTTTAATAATAATTAAAAGTATACTTTAAACTTCTTTTTTTGTAACAAAAATCAACATAGCAACAACAAACAGCAACATAGCACTGGGATAATCACTAGTTAAAAGTAACACATATATTTATTTATTCATTTTAAACATCTTCATTTCCAACAAGGCTGCAAGCAACCACTATTAGAGCTGGAAGTTACTGGAAGACAAAAGATAATGTTTTTAAAACAAGATAATGATTTACAGATAACTTAAAAGATTGCAAATTATATGAATCGGGAAAACAAGATGAATGAAGCGAATTCCAAACAACTGCTGTACGAGGAAAAAAACTAGACAAATAAGTATTTTTGGAACATTTAGGAACAGCCACAATAATAGCATGAGACTTAATTGAATGACAAGTAACACAAGAATGAAATTTAGTAGATGGCAAAAAAGAAGCTAGCTCTTTAGAACAGCACTCATTATAGCATTTATAAAAAAAGAAAATACAACATTATGACAATGTGACAATGGTTGAAAGTTGGCTGCAAGAGCAGGTCCAACTATGTTTACAATGCGGTTTTGCACCTTGTCTAAAAGAGTAAGGGCATCATACAAAGATCTACTCCAGGTATGGAGCAGATCTTTTAACAGTATTCATACAAGGATGAATTTGAAATTTATAGAGAATAAGAATTGAATCTATCTATCCATATATATATATATATATATATATATATATATATATATATATATATATATATATATATATATATATATATATATATATATATATATATATATATAGGTTTAAAAGTTTGATATTTTTTAAAGATTGATTAAATCATATTAAAATAATTTAAATAAAAAAAAAAGCATTAAATAAGAATTGACAAATGGGTATTGAAATTCATAGAAAAGTAAAAATTTCTTTCTATGTCTAGATAAAAAAAATGTATGTATGTATGTATGTATAAACATAGGTATGTACGTATTTATGTGTAAAAATACAATATGATTAATACCTAGAAGCTTGTCATAATTTTTGACAGCCAATTTATTTCGCTTTTGCAATAGTTTTGATAGCTGAAATAGAGCATGACCTCTCGTTGGAAGCAGAGGATCTAGCAAATCTTTCATGGCATCATGGTAAGCAGCGTCACTGGAAAAATCTAAAAAAATTTTTTTTTTGTCTAAAACATTATATATTTGAAATTTTAGTTTAAAACTCTCAAAAAATCTTATTTCACATTACAAATGTGATGAAACTGTGATGTTTTTCTTTTTAGGCATTTAAAAATTAATAGAATTTAACACAAAAAACAAAAACAGGCACATTTTTATTTATATACATTAAATATTTTTGTTTATTTCATTCATAATTATCAAAAATCCTGATATCACTAAGCACTATATTATATTGTAATTATATAAGTTATCTATTTATCATATGTTGGTAATAAATAAAAATTGCTTAAAAAAGAAACTTAGCGTGTTCAGGCTTTTGTAAGAATGTTTATAATTCGAAATAACTATAAAAAGTTGCAAAAGAAAGTAAAGAAGTTGCAATCTTAGTAGAAAATATGCTTTTTGCAGATTAATTTGAGAAAAATTTATATCATTAAAACCTAGGAAGTCAAAAGTAAAATTTAAAATAGACCCTTGTAAATTTGACTATTTTATATTAGCACTACTCTTGAAAAAATGACAAAAATATATATTGCATGAAATTTGAAATTTGTTGACGAATATAAACTTAGATAAAAATACTAAAGAAATTATTTTATAAACTTGTTGCTCCCACATTAAGGGCTGGGTGGGCCTACAAATTGGGGTTTTGTCCCAAAGCTTCAATCACCGCAACTCTTTGGAAAACATTCTCATTTGATATAAGCATGACTATATAAAAGTTTGGAGTTTGCACAATGCCTGTAAGTGTCAAAACTCAAACATTTAAAAATCCAGTGTACACCACTGTACTGCATATTACTTTGACAGTTTTTTATTAAAAGTAAGTGACATATACGAATTATCATTTCATATATAACTCTTAACAATTTCATTTCTTATTGTATTTATTAGACATTAAGATGTATTAATGCTACTCATGCATTATATCTCTTAATAGTTGACTAAAAGAAAAACCTAGTAACTTTTCTTATGTCATAAGGTTAAAATTATTGCTACCATGGTCAACATATTTTAAGTAAATGGTTTCTCACACCTAGTTTAACTACTTTCATTTTCTGTAAGTCCAAGACAAAAACAATGAAATTATTATGCTATCAATCAAGCAAGAGGCACAATTTATGACTCATCTGTGGTATTGGCCATTCAAAGCTGCAAGAAAAATATTTTCTTAAAGAGCAAACTATTAGTGAGAAAGAACCAAATGTGAGTTGTAGCATATGCTCCAGCCCTTTAGAAAAAGGTTTGCCTCACCAATGCTCTCAAACATACAATAAATAGATGTTGCATATGTTTATAATATGGTTTAAACCACTTTACATTATGTAATGCGAAGTAGTTTAAATTACAACTTAAACTAAACACTACTAAAAAGAACGGTACAGATTGCTCTTTTTGAATGAGCCTGTGGTAAAACATTTACAGACGATTATTTAATAATCGTCTGTAATTGTTTTTGCTGGAACCTGCAGCAGACATATCAGGGCTAAAATTAAGAGTATCGCGATTGCGATTGCTTTTCACATTTTCGCAATTAGTTTTTTCCTAAAAAATTTTTTTTGCGATTGTTTTTTTTTTGTTCATTTTTTTTTCTTTTCTAATTTTTTTTTGGCAAGTAATATTTTTGTCTAAGTTATTTATTAGGGGTCACTCTTGCACAGAGATTTTTATTTAACAAAGAGCATTGAATTTAAATTAATTTAAATCTCTGCGTGGAAGCCATAAAATATAACTTTAATATTTTAAAGTTATAATTAGTTTGAGTTACTGAATATAAAGTATATCACAGTAACTATACCTATTAGCTAAATCAAAACAACCAGTTAACTTACAACAGTAACTTACGGTTACTCAACTTTTAAATTTACTTAATATACTCTACCTAAAGACTAAGACTTGAACTAAAGACTTGAAAACTTGCCATAAAAATGTTTCTATTTATATCTTATATGTTGTTGACACATAATATAAGCTTCTTATTAAAAAATATTTAACAAGAAATCTCAAATAGAATATGAAAAACGCGATACCACATAAAACTAGTTTTTGATGTAATAAAAGTAAAAAAAAATTACCTGTTTTTTTATCTGTTTGATTTGAAATATTAGAACTGGTTTGTAAAGTCACTGCACCGTATGTTGCTATAAACACATGTAAATCATTCGCCATATTGCGAGTGCTCTGATTTCCATGTTTGAGTGATATATTTTTTAGTGCAGGAAGAAGCTCATGCATAACTTCAAAATCGGCACTTGTTAACTAAAATTAGAAAACAAAGATAATAACTTGATAATCACAAGGAGACAAAAAACCCTGTTTTTCTGCTAATTTGTATATTCTGATTTTTCTAGTTTCCATTGAAAAAAAAAAAAAAAAAAAAAAATTTTTGATCAGGAAAAGATTTTTTTTTACAGGAGAATAGTATACTAAATACACATATAATTTCCATTAATATAACAGTATATTAAATATACATATACATTATTGTAGTTTCACATAAAAAACAACTGTTGTCAATCATGCATAAACACCAATATCTCTTTGTAAAATTCAGCATAATTTATATACTAACTAAATTCCCTAGAAATTTACAACTATGTCTTTTATATATACAAAATTATTTACAAACAATTATATTGTGATAATCAATAAGTCATTTGCTATTACAAACTTTACTTATTTTTACAACTTCCTTGACTAACTTTAACTTTGTTTATTACAATTATTCAAATATACTTTCAAAAAATGCATTGATAATTAAACTTATTGAAAAATTATCAAAAATTCTTTTGAAGATGATAAAAATGAATGGAAAATAAAGTTAAAGAAATTGTTTAAAAGAGATGTCAAACTGTAAGACTGGTATCACATTTAACTAACTCTTTATCACAAATATAGCTAATATCCAATGTTAGCAGAAATTAGCAGCTAATGTTAGCAGAAAAACAATTAGATGGGCTATTAGACTTAAATATTCAATTTCTCTTTTCAGATTTTGTTTCACTTTTCAGTTTACAGTTTGTTTATTTTTAATTTTCTTTTCAGTTTATTTTTTTTATTACACTTTTAAAACACAAAAATTATCAAAACATGCAAAGAGGTGTGGCCAAGTTGTCACAACAAAATACTGTGTGCTAGGGTGCATCCAATCCCCTCATGTCAAAGAGATATTTTGTCCCTACTCCCAAAATGTTTCATTGTATCCTATATGTATGTTTGCCAAATTTTTTCAAGATTTGAATTGATTTATGGGGTCCACCACAAATCTAAACTTATGTTCATTGTACCAAAATTCGACTTACTCGAAAGAACCTGAACAACAAATGCAAATTTAGCATTTTTTGAATAACAAATGCAAATTTAGCATTTTTTCTCTGATATTAAATATTATCTTTATAATTGATTTACAATAAATATCTAATATTATCTATTTTGTTTTAATAAGTAATAAATAAAAATATAGTATAATTATTAATAAATTAATAAAAATTATTAATATTTATATTAACAAAATTATTTATATTAATAAATTTATACTAATAAAATATTTATATTAATAGAATAATTAAATTCATAATAAATTAATAAAAGTTAATAAAAATAATAATATATTAATGAAAATATAATTATTAATTAATAGTGTTTTTCAATATATTCAAATAATTATAATATTTTTCACTTTATAACATAACACATTTTGAACACCTTACATAATAATTTAAAAAAATCTTGTGCCAGTTCATTAGTTGCCATCAAGGCTGTAGAGTCGGAGTTGCGACAATTTTAGCGAAGTTGGAATTGCTAAACAAAATCGCAACTCTGACAATAGTAAAACTTCTCAGAATTGCACGTGCATGTACTAAACATTCAATTAGCCTTATATTCATATTAAACCCCAAAGAATGTTTCATAAATTTGTTAAATTTTTTTTTTTAACTTATTGCATAATATTTTTTAAAGAAATCAAAGAACTTTTCAAAAATTTTGCTTTAGAGTTGGAGTCGGAGTTTTATTCAAAAAATTTCAACTGAAATCGGAATTGTACTTAAAAAAATTTCAACAACTGGAGTCGGAGTCTTTTTTTTTTTCTTACGACTCCACACCCCTGGTTGCCATCTAGGATTTTAGATTGTCATCTACTAGACTGTTTCTGAAATTTTTTAACTCTTAATTAATTATCTTATCAAGAAAGGTAAATAACTTCTCATTATAAAATGATATTATTTATAATAATATACATTATACATTTTGCATTGTGTAATTTAAAAAAGATTTGATTTTTTGCAATATCATATTACATTAGGAACAAGCCCTTTGTGCATCCTAAGCACAAAGGGCTATATATTTATATGCAGATAAATCTAGGCATAAAGTTGGAAGGAAAATTGCAGCATCTTTCAAGGATGAGTGGATTGCTCCTATATTCGGAACTCTGCACTGGGATTCCAAATAAATGTCATCTTTGTCAAATAGAATCATTTCATTGGAGTGTCTCTCTGTTGTAGTTGGAACTGCTAATGAAATTAAGCTACTTGATTTTCTATCAGTTTCTGGTTCATATTCCAGCATATGAACCAGAAACTGATAGAAAATCGGGTGATATCATCACAGATTTGACAGTCGACCTGTTGAAGTCATGGAACTGCAACAACTCTATTGCCAGCATAGCATGTCACAGCTGCATTAAACACAGGGCATGTCACTACAGCTTGTGTGATCATTCAGCAACGCTTAGGGTGATGAACACATGTATTTTCCAACCTCCAGATCAAGGTTTCTAAGTTTCTAGATTGTTTACAAAACTTCGTAAAAACTTTGCGCTGTTTTAATGGCATCCAACTGATCGAATGTCGAGGTTTAAGCCCACCTCTTTTAGTAAAAGCACTAGAACATTCACTGACCCTTGTAGAAAAGATGTTATGAAGCTCATTCATTCTGAACAAGATTATTGTAGAGATGGCTATCTGGAATTTGCTGAATTATTCACTGATTTTCTTGATTGCGAAAAAGAAGGACACATAATTTGCATTTTAGCTACCTGGAGTGCTACATCATGTCTGGTGGATGTCATGAAGTTCTGCTACAGATGTGCTATGGAATGATCTTATGTTGTTCTTACTGGTATTAATGTATACAGGATTACATCCCAAGATAGAAGAAAGTACGTTGAGAGCATTTAAGTGACACTTGTGGTATTTAACTGAAAAAATGGGCCGCTTGCACTTTGGAGCACTAAAGCTGTACCAACAAAATGGCAAGCTCTTGCTGACCATCTTCAGGCAATGAAGCCAAATACTATTGTGTTCCAACCACAGCACTTGGCAAAAGATCTGGGAAGCCTAATTTTCCTAAACTAATTACATTATTGACAACACTTGCTGATCTTGTGTGAATTGATTTGTGATTGAGTTTCTGGCCAAAGAAGTTGCGGACTTGCCAAATTGTACTTTGTATCAGGTTTTGATGATCAACATTCAAGCACTGAATGTGGTAAATGACAGTGCAAAGAGAGGGGTTAAGCTTAGCTCTGACATCCTAGTGTATAATACCAACTCTAGTCAGATAAGCAACAGTGGCAATTGAGGAGGCATGAACTTCTTGGTTAAATCTTCCGGAGTGCTCTGTGATAAAACTGTTAGGTCTTATTGGAGCACCTAAAGAATATTAAAAAAAAAATTCTGTTGTATAAAATTTGTTTTCCAACAAGAATATGCTAGAACCCATGTTAGTTTAGAAATAATAGTATTTTATTTAGTTTATATATAATGTAATATTAATTATATTACATAATAGTTTATAATAAACTATTATGTAATTAACATTACATTAAACGCAACAACTTCAGTCAACTTGCACCTCCAAATAAGCAAAATTATATATATATAAAATTTAAAAATAATATTAAAATAAACTTTAAAAAAATTATTTACGAAAAACTTTTTTATTTTTTTATAAATAATGATTATTATATGAAATAACTGTAAAATAACGACTTTTGTATAAAAAAAATATTACTACTTGTCATGTGTTACCAAGTGACTCCATGTCACCCTCATGTTGTCATGTGACCCCATGTGTTTAACACCTCAAATGCATTAAATGCATTGGTATATTAGTGATAGAAAACCACCTACTCCTCTGCAGTCTTGTTCAACAAGGTTTGTGTTTCTGAGTTTAGAGTGAAGAGAGTATTGGTGCGTTGAGGAGATTAATATAATTTTTAAAAAAGGAAAAATACATTGTTTTCAGAGAAACATGTTTTTACATGCATACTAAGCATTAAAAATTTCACTTAAAAAATATACACCAATTAAGATCTCTTTTTCTTTTTTTTTTTTTTTACTTTTTTTTACTTTTGGGCTTAATTTACTTTTAAATAAATTGTAAAAAACTATTAAATAACTGTAAGAAACAAATAATATTTAACAAAACTAATTTAATTAAAAATTAAAAAATTACAAATGACTTGGTGAAAAACATTTTAAAAAACAAATTAAAAAAAAAATAAACCTTTCCAGTTCCAAGTAATGTTGAAAGTAATAACAAACACAAGTCAATGGCCTCATTTTCTTTGTGCAAAATAATAAAAGAATTTTCTTCTGTATACCATGACCAACTCAGTATGCACCTAACAAAACTTACAATCTGTGGTGTATTTTTCAGAACTGAATGTCCAAATGTGTCCATAAGAGCAGCTATTAAACTGAAAACTACTATATTTTCTTGGATATCTTCTATTTGGTTATCAATATGTAAGAGTTCCATTGAACAACCTATTACATCATTGTTATAGGATATTAAAAATGGACATATAGATTTAAATTTAAGTCTATATAAAGATATCTGTATAAAGATATATTGATATCTATATATGTCATATATAGATACAGACAAGGATTATTATAGGAAAAAAAATTGAGTGGCGGTACCCCCTGTACCAGAGAAATTTAGCAGAAAAAAAGGTTCTTAATTTTTAATTTGGACGATGCCCATTTCGGCACCCAAATATGGTCAACGCTGTCGAAAACGATCTAGAATAGCCCCTAGCAGATATTTTTATGTAAATATAGATAATCTATATATAGATAAGTGATTGTAATTGTATTGATAATAATTTTAATTGTAATTGTATTGATAATATTGATAGTATTTGTATTAATTGTATTGATATATATTGATTGTAATATAGATAATCTATATATAGATAAGTGATTATAATTACTACCTGAGAGTACAGATTTTTCATCAATTTGCACAGATTTGTTTTTTTTCATTTCAGGTTCGTTTTTAATTAAAGTGGTCAAACGTATAAGCAAGACAATAAAAAATTCACATCGTATTTCTTCAAGCGAAGAAATCTGAAGCAAGCTTATCAAAGATTTAATTTTTTTATCCAGTGTTATTTCTGCATATGAAAGCAACTCTTCAAAGAAATTATTATGATCACCAATGACAGTGATACTTTGATTTTCAAAACAATCATTTTTACCCTTGTATTTTATTTTTACACAAGGTAAAACTTGTGGGGTAGAAGGAGAACTCTTGGGTAAAATAAAGAACCCAAGAAAGTCAGTGCAGTCTTTTATGGAGTTTTTTAACAGAATAGAGACAAGTGTTTTCTTCAACGTTTTTCTAAAAAAAAAAATTAACTTAATTATTATTATATTTTTATATATTATTTTATTTTTAGTAGTAGTAGTAGTAGTAGTAGTAGTAGTAGTAGTAGTAGTAATAGTAGCAGTCAGTGCTGGATTAAGGAGGAGGGGGGGACCTAGGGGACTACATCCCCGGACCCCACAATTTTAGGGGCCACAAAATAGTTTTGAGGACCTTTTTTTTTTTTAAGTCATTTTTTATGCTGTGGCACAAAAAAAGCTTCCAAAAAAAATAGCCATGGGGCCTGAAAAGTCTAAGTCTGCCACTGGTAGTAGTAGTAGTAGCAGTAGTAGTAGTAGTAGTAGTAGTAGTAGTAGTAGTAGTAATAGTAGTAGTGGTAGTAGTAGTAGTAGTAGTAGTAGTAGTAGTAGTAGTAGTAGTAGTAGTAGTAGTAGTAGTAGTAGTGGTAGTAGTAGTAGTAGTAGTACGAGTAGTAGTAAAAAATTACTTTATAATAGGATGATCAATCATACAATATAATACAAAACAGGCATGTATATTCCTAGTTATCAAAATAATGAAGTTTTCAACTGATTGTGAAGCACAAACCTATAAAAAAATTAAAAAACTGTGTTTATCAATAAAAAATCTATATCCATTTACAATTTAAAAAACAAACTATGATAAAAAACAATAATAATAAAAAAAAACAACTATAAGACAATAATTAAACATTCCAAATGATTATTTAGTTATGGTCATTTAGTTCTCACCAAAAATCACTAATTAATCAAAACATTGTATAGTTGTAATAAACACGTAGAAATAAAGCGCCTAGCCAGTACAGTTGATAGAAATACATTCAGCAATTAACTAGACAGTTTTTAAAGCAGTATTTGTTATAAGGAAATGTAAAAATACAAGATACCAAGGTGTTAAAATACTATGATACCAATTCAAAATATAAAAATAATGTTGACTTGTTGAACTGTTTCCTTGGTAATTTTATAAATTGTGATCCTAGTTTTTTTAACTTTTATTATAATTTCACTAGATCATGTTAAAACATAAAAATGTAGACAGCTCTATTATAATTTTTTTCTTTCCAGAAATCTTAGTGATTTGCCAACTTAATCTGATTAAATAAATTTGAAAAAACTTTTTGTATAACATATAAACAGTACTCTTATTGAACAATTTAAACTTTATGTTAAATTAATTATAAAAACAAGTAATTACAACATTTTGCATGCAGGACTTTCATTTTTGACTTTCCAGGATTTTTCAGGTTATTTTTGGTAAATTTTAAAGACATTTGCTTTGTTTTTTCAAGGATTATTCCAGGACTTAATTTCTTTAATGATAGCCCCAAATAACAAAAATTGTCAAAACATCAGCTACCTAACTAGATAATTGTGAATTGAAAAAATTATTGGTCAAAAAACTTGTCATTTGCAAATTCTTTCCTGTCTGGAACCTTAAAATACTAAGTAATAAAAGCATCTAATAATTTTAATAAAACAATAAAAAAAAAAAATTTAACCAATATTTAAACTCATAACAACTAATTTTCTTTAAAAGAAGACAAACAGTCTTTAATAAAATGTAACGCAATAAGAGATATCTCTCTTATTGTGTTAAGTTGTTTATTGATATAAAAGTCTCAATGGGTTATGAAAGTCTCAATGACTTATGAAAGCACAAAAACTATTTTAAAAACATTTCAAACATCTCAATATACTTTATTCACCCCAGAGAAAGTTAAAGAAGAATTTATCAAGATAATCATTATTAATATCAAACTCTTGAAATGATTTCTGATTCAAGTCAACTATTTCTAAAAACTTTGGATACTGATTTTTTGCTAGTTTAGCAGACTTTTGGTGGAAAACGATCATATTTAACTAATTTTTGCAAAAGAATTGAAAAATTATTAATACAGCATTTTTTTTATTTGGATTTGAAATAAAAATTGAGTTGAAGAATATTGCAGTGTGTGTTATAAAAAACTTCAAAGGAAACTTCTTAAAGAGACATGTCAACAAACCAGCTAAAAACTATCCTACCTATTTTTGAATATAACTACTCTTTTATTGGCGTAACTTAAAAAGGCTTTTTTATAAATTACCTTAAGACTATTGAAATATATAATAAACTTTTTGTATCCATCAAAAAGTGATTCAGCCCTTCAAATCACTTATCCATCAAAGAGTGATTCAGCCCTTCAAATCACTCATCCATCAAAGAGTGATTCATCCCTTTTAGCACAATTTCCATTTTCACACCACCTATGTAAGAAAAACTGCACTGGATAATCAAGTATTCCAGTTTTTCATTTCCATATATTCATAGGTTGCTTGTCTACTAGGAGAGTCATGCATAAATTGCCACATCATTTTTAATAAATGTTAATGTGTTTATCAGCATATTATCTATTGCTTTTTGGTGTTCTGCTTTATTTAAGCAGAAACATGCTGTATTTAAGCTAATAATTAATCAATATTTAAGCTGAGACATGCTCAAAAACTGGAGCAGATTTAAAATCAGGTGACATAATTAAATACTGTTGATAAAAAGAAACCTCTCATGTGCTTTTTATCTTTGATGTGTGATGATAAAGCAGCTTCTCTCGTATTAACAATATTAATATCTTTAGAAACAATAACTGCAAATCAGAACAATTCGGTTTTATTTTAATAACCAATGTTTAAACTGTTTTTCATCAATCCATTTTTTTAAAAAAAAAAACATATTTTATTCAAACATTTTTTAATTAAAAAAATATAGCTAATTTATACTTTTTATTCAATAAACATAAAAAATAAATTCAAATATCAATAAGCATTTTTGTTTGTTGAAATTTGAAAATAGTTTTTTTAAAAATAGTTTTTTTATTTTTACACAGCACAGTAGGCCAGAGTTTAGCAAAAAGGTCAAAACGAAAGGTCGTATATTGACTTTTTTAATCATTTGCAATTAACATGCATATGTTAATGGCAATGAATATTTATTTTATAATGTACCTGATTAATTTTGTAAACCTTTTAGGATGCTTCAAAGTCAAAAAGTTGTTAAAATATAAGTGAAAAACGTGAAAAACACGTAAATACTGGGAATACATCTGTGACATTTAGAAACAATCTATCCTTATGGAATTTGAAAACATTTTTACATATTTATCTATAATTTTATAATTATTTAAAAAAACAGAGTTTTTTAATTTTCTATCAGGTTTATTACATATTTTTACAATTTTTCATGTAAAAAAAACCTTGCGGTAATAGACACATTATAATACGTTAAGATTAATTTACGTTAAGATTAATTTAAATGCATACTTTATTACTTTAACTAACACTTTATAAAAAGATTTCTGCCGCCACTTGCATCCCTCCTTCCCCGGTTGCCACATGTTGTCAAAGGTTGACTTGACCAAATTTTGAAAATTTAACAAAAAAATTAATTTACAAAAGTATATATGTAGTTTGCTTAAAATTTTTTATTCAAGTCATTGTTTTTAGAAATTAAATAAATAATAAACATCCGCTACCAATATGTTGATCAATTAATTTTAATAGACCGTTGCACATATTAACTGAATTAATTTTAATAAACGTTGCAGCGTTGGCCACAAACCGTTTCAGCACACTGTAATAGTTTGTGATCAAAATAAATAAACTATAAAACCCATTTTATGAAGCGGCGAGATTTGTGTTATAAAATTTTAGAGGTCAAGTGGGAAAAGAAGATTAACAGTATAGTAGATATCGAGGCTGACATTATTTTGAAGGGTTTGAATACATCGGATGAGATTAGAGATTTTATGAATGATCTTAGAAGAAATGGAGGTAGAAAAACAGAACTAGGACATGGTTTGAGGCGAAGTACCAGAACTGGTTAGATTGCAATGTAAATCCTGTAGAGAATATTCAACCTTCAGATCCACCTGTTAATCCTGGTAATTAATTAATATTATATGTATATAACATTCATTTAGTGTTGTATGTCTTCTATGCAAATGTAATGTTGTCAACACCAATATTTGAATGTTATATTTACTAATTCTTCTTAAGTCTAGAGTATAAAAAAATTGCCAATTGCATTTGTACATCCTACTGTCTCATGTATGGAAGATGTAGATCCTGAGGCTCTAGAGACCTATTGCAAGGAGACAGTCCAACTCACAATTCAAAATATTTTTATTATTTTATATGGGATGCTAACTAAATGTTTTTTGACCATTTTTTTAAAAACATTTTTTTAATTTATTATGGCATAATACTATTTAAAGTGATATTTTAATTTAAAGATGTTAATTCTAGATGCTTTTTACTATTTTTGTTTATGTAAGTAAGATACAACTCAATTTGACTATTCAAAAGTTTGCCAACATGTGTCATTAACAAAGTTTGAAAACTTCGGAAATGATTTACTACACTTAAAACAATAAAATTTTGAAATATAAATAATGATTTTCAAAAAGAACGTAAACTAGACTTAAAAGCCAAAACAGTTGTAAAAGTTAGAATTGAATCAGTTGCACCAGCGCAAGCATTTATTACACTAAAAGACGATAAGCCAATTTTTCAAAATTAACTCTTTGTAGGCTACTAGTTCCTTCAAAAAGTAAGCTAGGGCATGTTAGTAAAATTATATTGGACAATATTAAATTTGAAGCAGTGGAAAAATACCACTGATGTTATAAATTGGTTTTCTAAAATTAGTAACAAAAACAAATGCACATTTGTTGACATAATTTGACATTAACTATTTTTACCCCTCAATTATAGCAGAAATTTTAGATAAAACAATAGAATATGAAAAACCTCACATAGAAATTACAGACACTATTTTAATTCTATTTTAATAAGGAAACGTGGAAGTTATGACGGAGCAGAAATTTGAGAATTTGCAGGCTTGTATGTTTTTAAATTCTTCTTCTTTAAAAAATAAAACAGGGCCTCAACTTGAAAAAATATGAAAAATATAATTGAAATTTTCAAAAACATTGATTTCTAAATGAATTGGATTCTTTAAAAATTGTGAACTTTATAGATGTCACAAACTCACAGAAAATTCTTATAAGCCCTACAAAAAGCTTTATAATGAATTATCGTATATTAATATAAATTCAAATCAACCCCCCCCCCCCCTTCAAGTCTTAAAATAAATTCCTATTTCAATTAACAACAGAATCTGAAAATTACTTTATTTTCAAAACTCTTCTAATGAAAATATTTTTAACGATTCTAAATGTGTGTATAAAGACATTTGGAAAAAAAAATCTAAAAATTTTGAACTAAAATATAAAACAATAATTGCAAAAAAGCAAAATAGAAAAAGAAATATAATTTGGTTCAACCATCTGTAGAGCAAAAAATGTTTTGACAAATATTGCAAAAGCGTATTTAAAATTAATAGATAAACATTGCCTTCCTACTAATTAAATGCACAAAATTTTTAACGAAATACTACTTAAGTAAGTTATAGCTGTGCAAAAAATTACAGAAAGAATAATAAATAGCCACAATGTTGCATTAATTAATAAAAATGAAATTCTTATAGAAAAAAAAATACTGAAAATTGTAATTGCAAACAAAAAACTGATTGCCCTAAAAATGGCAAATCCTAATCAAAAATATTAATTCCAAATGGATTGTTTCCTTACAAAATAACCCAGATAACAATATATTGGCTCAACCAAAGGCGAATTTTACTCCAACCACAAGCAATATTTTAAACAAAAAATACTCAAGAGACTGTCCTGTCAAAATATATTTGGTAATTAAAGGAAAATTTTTTTTTTAAAATTAAACTGGTCTATTCTAAAAACTGCACCTGCCTATAATAAAATTTCCGAAAAGTGTATGCTATGTTCATAAGAAAAATTTGAAAATTTACTGAACAAAAAATCTGAACTAATTTCTAAATGAAGGCATAAAACTAAATAACTTTAAAAAAATTATCGATCAAGTATCAATAAAGATGGTATCAATAAGCAGTTGTCTTGTGATCAATAACTTAACTGATTCAAGATGGTTTATAAATAGTAAGATCTTCATTATTTTTGTATATATATAAAGTACTTTTGTAAATATATATTGTATATATACATATATATATATATATATATATATATATATATATATATATATATATATATATATACAGGCTTGGTCGGGAAGCGGGAGCGATCGCTCTCGATTGCTGACCACGTAAATAATATTTAGTTGCGAAAAACTGGCCAGATTTTTTAGTAGTTTTGAGAACATTTTAAAACTATTTATTAGATTAATTGGACCGATGAGAGACAATTACAAAAAAAAAAAGTAAGCAAATAAAATATCTTTAAACGCGAAAAAACTTTAAGCTAAATAAATTACATTTAGAACAAATATTTACGAAACATCGCTTTTTTATAATTTTTTTTATAAAATTAAGCGATGTTTTTTATATAAAGTAACAACTTACGATTGTTTAAAAGGGAAACAAATATTCTTTATTTAACTTTTTCCAAGTTTTTGTTTTTCTTAAGCTTAATTTATTTTATAAATAAAAAAGTTAATTTTTTTAATACCTATTTTATGTTTCGCGTAGTTTGAAAAGTTTAACATATTTGAAGCGATTCTTCTTAGTAAGATAAACAAATGAAATAATTAAATCATTGAATTACTATAGGAATTAAATTATCAAGATAGAAATCAACTAAAAAGGTTAAAAATACGTAATGACCAGGAAGCGAAACTGCTTTACAATATCGCTGATGATGTTTAGTGAGTGGGTTTTTAATTTTAAATAGTATTTAAAGCAGAAAAAAGTATAACGAGTTTTAAGAATGGCAACTTAAGCGAAAATAATTAGAGTTAGTAAACCAATATCTAGAAACTTTTCTTTATATCTAACTATTTGCTATTATATATTTGTGTTCTGTCGTGACTTCAGAAGCGATGCTTGTTCATCCGCGAGTTACTTTGTATGCGTTGTTTGTGTTAAGTAACCAGAAACTTCTTATATGTTAGTTACATAATTAGTTTTATTAACTTAAACGATTATAACTTCATTGAAAACGCAATTATTTTTGTAAGTCTTTGTTCATAATCATAAAAATTGCTTTAAAAGATACATTACGATAAAAAACAAATACACAAAATTACGTTTACATAAAGAATACAATCTCTTTTAAAATAAAAAATAAGAATACACTAATAAAATCTATGATTTATAATAAACTTTTAAAATTTTAACAATTTAATAAATATATATTTAAAACATTTATTTTCGTACAAATAATATATATTCTTTAATAATATATATTCTTTAAATAATATATATATTCTCTCTAACAAATAATATATATTCTTAAAACAATACTAGAAATCTCAAAACGTAACAAATCGTGAATAATTACTAAAACATTTTAACAGAATACTCTAGAACTTTATTTCGCTTAATCAGTGTATTTTTTGAACCAATAGAATTAGGTTGTTTGTTAATTTGGCGGGTTTTTAGAGTTCACAAATATTATTTTTATTCTTTCGCACGAAGATAATTTGAGAACATTCTAGTTTATTATGTTTCCATGTATGTCCGTAAAACAAAAATTCTTTGTTTCGTACATAAACTTAAATGTTCTCAAAACGACTAAAAAACCTGGCCAGTTTTACGCAACTAAATATAATTTCCGTGGTCAGTATTCGAGAGCGATCGCTCCCGCTTCCCGACCAAGCCTGTATATATATATATATATATATATATATATATATATATATATATATATATATATATATATATATATATATATATATATATATATATATATATATATATATATATGTATATATATATGTATATATATATATATATATATATATATATATATATATATATATATATATATATATATATATATATATATATATATATATATATATATATATATATAAAGTTTTGTATAATATTGAAGATTTTATGCATAAAAGAGCTTTATTCAAACCAAATTCAGTTGTTGCATGCTCAAATAAAAGAGCATTTTTATAAAGACTAATGTATAATAATAATAATAATAATAATAATAATAATAATAATAATAATAATAATAATAATAATAATAATAATAATAGATTAGCTTTTTCTGTCTATGTTTAAGGAAGGGATGTATTGTAGTAATCTTGGTTCAGTAATAACATGAGAAGATTTTACTAAACTTGTTAAAGGTTTAAACTTAAAATGAAAAATACAGAATTTATGTTTCAATCTAGAATATTAAAATCATATGGCACAGTCAGGTGCAACATTAGTTTATTTATTTTCAAAGAATGAATTAAGATTGTTAAGAGAATTATCTGGAGAGATGAATAAAGTTCCCTCAAATGCCTAGAGCTCTGGATAACAAATAATACAGTAGCATACCTGAAAATCAGAAAATAATTCAACAAACCAACCCTGGCATAGTTAAGGAGGTTTGAACTTCTTAGTTAAATACTCTTTCACAGTGTTCTGTGATAAAACACAGTGTTCTGTGATAAAACTGCAAAAACTCTCTGGAGCACCTCAACAAACACAAAAAAAATAACAATATTACTACACTTTCTGTTAGCAATATTGTTAATTGTATGGATTTATGGTTTTTAGAAACATCTTTTTTTGCATATTTTACATGGAAATTTTTTATTGATAATTCTAAAGAAGGTCTAAAATGACAAAATGTTTATTATTGTTTAAACTGCTATTTTTGACTTTCCTAATGTTTTTACAAATTTATTAGAGTGATAAACAGCATAAACTGTTAAGTGGAAAAAAAAAATGTATATATAGTATATATAGTTATTATATTATATATTATATAGTTCACTTTACAAAAACAAATAAGAATATTAAACAAGTGGAAAAAATAAATATTACAACTGTAAAAGCAATATTGGTATTAAAATTGCTTACATTATATATAAGTTGCAATTTCTTCAAAACTTTATATAAAAATGCTTACATTATATATAAGTTGCAACTCTTTTGAAAGTTCATTTTCATCAATTTCAACAAAGTCTAAAAAAAATTATGAAGTTTCCTTGTTTAGCACGATTGGTTGCGATTGGTTATAAATAATTTTTTACAAATTTGTATGTTATAACAAATTGTAACAAGTTGCTATAACAACCAGTAATACACTTTATTTTAATTTTTTTATTATCATTTTGTTAACAATACCAGTAAAACTAATTAACAGTAATACAAGTTAACAGTAAACAACATTAAATATAAACAGGTTGAAACTAATTGTTGCTCACTCCATTTTTTGTTGTTGCTGATACAAACAAATTAATGCTCAACAAAAACATGTTTAAATCGAGCTAATTATTAACTTAAATATTATTTTTTATATACTAAATATTAACATTTATTTTGTTTTAGTCATTAAAAAAAAACGCTTTTAAAAAACTGTAATACAACATTTTAATAGCTGATAAATACATAAAAACTATAAACTTACCAGAAGTATACAAACTATTTAATGAGAACAAAGCTTGAACTTGAATGTTTGTTGCTCCAATGTCATAATGGTTTTCTAATATATTTTCAATGCAATTGATTGCAACCATAATAAAGTGTGAAACTTCTTTTGAAGGTGTAGTCGTTATCAAATCAAGAACCTTGAAAAAAATGTTTTCTGTTTGTAATTTTGAGCAAATTAATTATTATATTTTTATATTTTTTTATTTTATTAATTATATTTTTATGCAGCTTAAAGAGATTTAACAAAAAAAAAAAAAAAAAAAAGATTGTTAAAATTTGCATATAAAAATGTTTCTTTTTTATATGCAATATTTATTAAGTGTGATTTTATTTTTTTACATATCTACTATACAAATATGTTTCATTTAACAATCGGAAGAGAAGCAGGAACACAAATGTAAAAAGTATGGATATGAAATTCTATATAAATCATAAATTTAAAATCAAAAAAAGTTTTTCTGTCTCTCAAGATATAGTCCAGTAATAAATAATCATTTTGTTTTTTCTAATCAATAATTCTTCAGAAATTTCAATATCATAAAAAATATAATACTAGATGCTTTTAGTTTTTAGTATGCTTTCAGGACTTACTAAAATTTTTACAATCATAACAAATTGTATCATTAGGTGCTACGAAATCTGCACTTGAAATCTGTTGCAGTAGTTTATCAATAAAATCAGTGTAATATCGTTTGCTGCATTCAAACATATTGCTTTCTATTTTTGAACTCCAAAGCTAAATTTTGCAATATAGAGAAACCATTTATATTTACAACAGTGATATCATAGAATCCAGCTAAAAAATTTCGTTAAGACATTTTAATTGCCTGAAGATTATTAAAAATAAGAAATGATAAAACTTTTAGTTGCATATTTTATTGTTCATGTTTTTTATTAAAGCCTTTTTATTAAATTTTTATTTTTTAGTTAAAAATTGTAAAGGTAGAAGTAAAAGTAGAGCTTATTTTCTCTTCTTTATTTTTGTAACAAAAACCTAATATGCTTATTTTCTTTTAAAAACACTGTGTATATATATATGTGTATATATATATATATATATATATATATATATATATATATATATATATATATATATATAAATATATATATACATATATATATATATATATATATATATATATATATATATATATATATATATATATATATATATATATATATATATATATATATATATATATATATATATATATATATATATATATATATATATATATATATATATATTTAACATATTTGCTTTCAACAAGGCTGCAAGCAACCACTATTAGAGTTGGAAGTTATTGGAAGAGAAAAGATGAAGTTTATAGAGCAAGATAACGATTGACAGACAACTTGAAAGATTGCAAATTATATGAATGAGGAAAGCAAGATGAAGAAAGCAAACTCAAAAGAAATGATGTTTGAGGAAAAAAACTAGACAAATGAAAGTTTTTGGAGCACTTAGGAAAAGTCACAGAAAAGGTATGAGACTTAATTGAATGATGAGTAACTCGAGAATGAATTTTAGTTGATGGCACAAGAGACGCTAGCTCTTTAGAGCAATGCCCATTATAGTATGTAGAAAAGAGAAAGAGAAGCAACATTACAATGATTTGATAATGGTTGGAGGTTGGCTGCAAGAGCTGTTTCAACTATGTTTACAATGCCTTTTTGCACCTAGTCTAAAAGAGAAAGGGCATCATTGAAAGATCCGCCCTAGATATGGCAACAGTATTCCATACAAAGACTAACTTGAGATTTTTAGAGATAAAGAATAGAAACTGGAGTAAGAAAGTGTCAAGCATGATAAAGATATGCAACCTTAGCATACGCTAATTTTACAATGGATTTAATATATGACTTCCAAGAAAAATCAGAAGTAAGAGTTAATCCTAGAAGATGAAGGGTAGATGACTTGTCAAGTACATCGCCATTGATAAATATAAAAAAATCTAAATTATTGCAGTAATGATTGGCTGAAAAATATTGGGTTTTATCTAAACTTAAGTTTAAGTAAACAGCCACTGTGAGCCCAATGCTGTAGCAGAAGTGAGATCCTTTTCAATCTCAAGTGCCTTCACCAAGCAATCAGAGAGTGTTGGCTTCTTTGACAAGAACAAATGGTAGTATCATCAGCAAACAATGCCGCATTAGATGTAAGAATATCTGGAAGATCGTTAATGTAAATAAAAGAGTATAGGTCCAAGTATAGAACCTTGAGGAACCCCTGAAGTTACAGGATATGAAGAAGAGTACAGTCCATTGAGGACAACTTCTATACTACGATTGGAAAGGAAGTATTTAATAATCTTAAAGATGTTACCTGATACACTGTAAGAAAAAAACTTATGGAGAAGACCAGCATGCCAAACCTTATCAAAAACTTTAGAAATATCAAAGTGATAGCCTTGACTTCTCCACCTCTATCTAATGTACGATAAAACATATCCGTTATTACTGTTAGTAAATTGGCTGTAGAATGAGAAGATCAAATTCCATTTTGATGATCAGAAAGTAAGTTATTAGATTCAAGATGGGAGATTAAGTGTTTGTTAATTGAAGATTCAAAAAATTTGCTTATGATAAGAAGAAGACAACTAGGATGGTAGTTAGAAAAGTCAAATTGCTCTCCAAAATTTTTGAAAATAGGGATAACAGATGCCGCATTCCAGCATGCCAGAAAACAAGACTCTGCTAAATAGTTTTGAAAGTATAGAAAAAAACTCCGGAGAACACTTCTGCAAGACTATAACAGGTATGTTGTCTAGACCACTGTAGCTGTAGCTATAGAAGAGTCTAAGCAAAAAATCACTTTAGATACAGAAGCTGGAGTAACACAAATGTCAAGCAATAGATCAATCTGTTCGTCGGCTATATCATGTAGAACGCAACTAGTGGAATCAAGAGAAGATATTGATGAAAAGCTATTAACAAACAGTTCTGCTTTGTCTTTAAGTGAGACAATAAAATCCAAACCGTACGAGAGAGGTGGAATAACAGATTTGCCTTTTTTATTGATACTGTTAAAGACCCTCCTGAAGTCACGAGAGCCTAATTTTTCTAATGAAATACGAGATTTCATGACCTGAGAATAGTGAGCTTTGGCATTAGACAAAACCTTTTTACAATGGTTTCTAGCAATAGTAAACAGAAATCTGTTTTCTAGAGAATTGTTTAGCTGATAGATATGGAAGTAATTGTTTTGATTGGAAATTGCAGCAGCACAATGTAAGGTAAACTTGGAGAAGAGTGAGGCTTGACTTGGAATCATCGAGAGAAAATAAAAGATTCTATGCCAGCCTGAATCCAAGAAGTTATGTAAGAAGCACATTTATCAGCAGGATGATAAAAGATTTCTACCCAAGGGCCATCACGAAGATAAGCATGAAAAAAGTCTCAGTCAGCTTTAAGGTAGTTGTAAGGTAAGATGATAGGGGGATTTTGATGATAAAGAAGAATGACATAATAGTTTCAGAGATATCAAACCATGATCAGAAGTGCTCAGTTTCTCCATATTCACCATATGGAGAAACTGAGCACTGACTAGGATCAGAAACAAGACATAAGTCAAGAAGTGAAGGTAAATGATTTGGGTTGTCTGGACAATGAGTCGGAAAGTTGACTATTTGAGTTGGAGATTGAGAAAGGCAAAAGTTGTGGGCCTTAATGCCTGCAGAGTCACTAACACTGGAGCCAAGCCATTCAGTATAATGAACATTAAAGCCATTAACAACAACCATATTGGCAGTGGATAAAGAAAGAGGGCTTGGTCAATTTGATCAATTTGATATAGATACAGAATAAAGAGATATAGGAGATATATAGGAGATATATAAGGGATATAGAACAAAGAGAAAGGCAATTGAGTAAAGTGGTGCTGAACAAAAGCACATAAAAGAAAAGTCGGTGGATTCAAACCTAGTTTCTCAATAAATGGGTGAATCCATATGAATGTAAATACCCAGGCCAAGCATGTGACTATTGGAGTCTTTACGAGTTAAAGGAAGATAACCAGCAACACTAAAATCACAAGATAAGACAGCCGAACTCAAATTAGTTTCACAAAGAGCAAGTGGGTCTGGTGAACTATGCAAGAGGTAAGACTCAACAGAAGAAAAGTTACTTTAAAGACCGCAAATATTAGTGAATGATAGGTTTAGAGAACTTGGTGATGGTTTTTTGTGTTTTATAGTTTTTTGTACTTTAGTCATTTTTAAATTTGTTAAAGAACTTGACTCGAAGCATAGATAGTACTCAGTACACTATTTAATAGTCCAAGCAATTCCCTTATTACTATTAACAAACTTTAAGCTGTAACAAAGGGCTCCAAATGTGGCCTTGACAATGCATACCAAAAGTACAAACAGGGACACCATCCATGTGCAACATGACACTGTTAGTACTCTGATATTTTACAGATATTCATGGAATCAGCCTCTCTGAAAGCTACCACAGAGTTCGAGAAACCTGACTACCAGCCGGCCTCAGAACCATAAAACTGAGTTTTAGAGCTGTACCCTTATTAGGAGATAATAGATTGAGTAGCCTAGTCATAAAAACAGAGACACAAGCAAAACCCATGCATTGAATCAAGAAGATCGAGCATTCAACATCCTAAAGTAAAAACAATGTATTATAAATACATCTGCTCCAGCCTAATAGATGAAAAAATGGTGCGAGGCTGGTCAACAGATAGAATTTGATTACCGTTTAAGTTTTTGCCTAGGAGGTTTTCTACAAGACAGTAGCCAGATGCGTTTAATATCTTAATATTTTTATCGAGACACCATCTCTAGCCTTTACTCAACCAAGAGCCCCAAGTCGGAGTCAGCTTCTCCTAGCCTTTGTCTAAAAAAGCGTATCCTACAAGGCAGCAGGACATTCTGACCAGTACAACCTACAGGACATGTAACCCAGTACAACTGTTTCCTTGCTTTTTAACTCTATTCTTCTTTTTCCTAGTAACTCTTAACTTAATAGTGGTTGCTTGATGCCTTGTTGGAAGTGAATTAGAAATATATATATATATATATATATATATATATATATATATATTTATATATATATTTATAAATATATATCATATATATTTATCATATATATATACCATATATATATAAATATATATATATCA